ACACACACACACACACACACACACACACACACACACACACACACACATCCATATCCATATATAATTAAAGAAAACACATCAGTGGTGGTATTCAGCCGGTTTGGGTGGATAGGTAGCAAGAATTTGGCGTTGGTCGCCGAACTGTTAGTAAGTTCTGGCTGGCCACGCCCCCAATATGGTCCCCCTCCCGCTCGATGCTTGCTTACCTGCCAGCCTGACATTCGTCTTAAGGTATTTCTTTTTTTTCCCCTCCTGACAATCAGCTGTGCATAGATCAGCTGTGCCGGGATTCCCCTTGCTGAAGCCCAGGAAGGCAAAAAATGGAGGGAGGAGCACAGCCCCCCCTCCATTTTTTCCTTCCAGACCCCAGAGGAGCCTTAGGGGAGCAAAAATGCCCCCACCCCAGAGGCTCCTCTGAGGCTAGGAAGCTTCCAAAATGGAGCTTGAAGGGGTGCTGTGTGCTTCTCCCATGCTCTGTTTTTTTTCCTTCCTGAGCCCCAGAGGAGCCTTAGGGGAGCAACCCCCCCCGAGACTCCTCTGAGGCTAGGAAGCTTCCAAAACAGAGCTTGGAGGGGTGCTGCGCACCCCTCCCATGCTCTGTTTTTTTTCCTTCCTGAGCCTTAGAAGAGATTTAGGGAAGCAAAAATGCCCCCCCCCCCCCCCCCGGCCCCCCCCGGGGCCAAAAACCCAAAAATGGGGGGGGGAGGCAAAAAAGCAAAAAAAACCCCACACCCATCCAGTCACATGGCCACGTCCACCAAGTCACGCCCACAGAACCGGTAGTAAAAAATTTTGAATCCCACAACTGGAACACATAGTGTTTCCCACATGTTTGTAGTCCTGGAGACCTTCACCACCTTTTGTTTCTTTTTACAAAAGTTAGCCAGTTTAATGTTGATTTTTTTTTTGTTTCCCATTTTTTCTCCCATTCTTAGAATCAAGAGATGTTGCTTGCGAGCCAGTGAAAAAGTTATATTCTGCTTTGCCTAATAATAACAGCAGTATTGGTAAGGATTGAATTTCATTTTTTTTTAAACATATAAAGCCTTCCCCTGGTGAAGCCGAATGAACAGTGGGGAATGGTCACTAAACTTGGAATGAGACTTAGCTGGCTTCAAGTGATAACATAGTCTATTTAGACTAATTTATAATCAGGAAACAGTTGCAAAATTTAAAAAAAAACCATGAGATACATTTTTTTCTGGGAGTCTTTTGTGAGAATTTAACAAAGATAGTGATGTTGCAGATATTCTGCATAGAGTAGGATTGTAAATTCAGCAAGCGATGCTCAAAAGGTATTGAATAGACTTCTTTTCTAATCCAACAACTTTGCAAGTCTCACAAAAGTCAAACATTCCAGAGTGTTTTGTGGAATGTTGTTTTGTGTTATTTTATTGGTATACTTTTTCTGGTAGGGAATACCATTTTGTGTGACATACACAAAATATGTTACGTTCCACTTTTCATAAAAAAGAAGTAGTTCTTGTAAATATGCATGCGAAGTGCATAGTCATTATTGTATGACAGAGATAATGGTTTATTAAGGAATTATTTCATAATAGTAGCCAAAAGAATTTACCCTGTTGTGGGGGAGGGATCCTTCTTAATTAGCAGAATCTTATAAAACTTTCCCAAATGTATTGAAAATTGATCTTTTATTCTCATGTTGACACATTTCTAGATTGATTCCTGCAGCCTCCATCCCAAAGTTTAGGAAGCAGAATTGTGATCCCTGAAATACTGTTCACTCTTAATCAAAATTATGGCTCATTGAAGCAAGCTAGGACCAAATTTTATATTTTTGAAGTACCTTATATAAATGAACAATTGTGTAGATTTAGTCAGAATGTCACATGTAATTACCCCAGAAAAAGACACATTCTGATTTTGATCATATCAAAGGAGGAGAGAGGAACTTAAAAGTTGAAGCCTTCTACCACTTAGGTTCATATTATTCAGTCAGAATCTAAACTGAGCAAACATTTGCATACTGTTTATGTTTGAGTAAGGATTTTAATAAGTTTTCACATTGTACTATGTAACTATTTCCTGCACCATTTGTCTAGCTTCAGTCAACAGGGTACTATTTAATACTGTATATCCTTTTTCATTCAGAAATTTTCAATGCTGATGGATCACGGTATTTTGAAGGAAAGAAGGTTACAGAAAGCCCACCAGTTACTGAAGATGACAGCAGTGTGGGCAGTGGTTCTGCAATTGGCAGAGGAACTGTAGATCATAGTGACTTCACACCAGGTATTTGCATTGATCAGTCTTCTACAGAATGACATTTAAATAGTACCTTGGAAAGGTCACAGATATCCATTAGAAATTGTGTAGACCTTCTCAACTTAGGTGATCTCCAGATGAGTGGACTTCAGTTCTCAGAATTGCTCAGCAAGCATCAACATTTCTGAGGCTTCTAGGAGCTGAAGTAGATTGGGGAAACTTTTGCATTGGAAACTTTTGCATTGGAAACTTCAAACTTACAACAGTTCATTTAGTGACTATTTGAAGTTACAACAATTTTGGCCCGTTCCAGGCGATGGGGATCAGAATGGGCAAAAAATGTGGTGTGTGGAGGCAGAAAATGGGGTACGGAGGCCGAAACAGGATGCGGAGGTCAAAAATGGGGCACGCAGAGGCGGAAATAGGCAATGACGATCCCTGCAGCTTGAAACAGCTGACCGTTGGGAGGCCAATCCAGCTGACAATCAGCTGCTTGTGCTAATCAGGCTGTGCTGAAGCTGACCAGGCTATTTGTTGCAAGGAGGCAAATTGCTGGGAGGCGGAGGCTGAAGGGTCGGGGCGGGTGGGTGGGTGGGTCCTCTGCAAAATTTGTTGTATAAGACTCACAGACAGTTTCACCCACTTTGGGAGTGGGTGCGCCTTATGCACTGAAAAATACAGTATTTATTTCCTCCATTTTATCTCCCATGCTACCTATAAAATATTTTCAATGATATGTTACAGAAAAAGACATCACTAAAGAGCACACAAAATTGTATCTAATTAATATTGCTTTGCCAATAGTTGGTTCTTTTTGCTAGCAGAAGCATTTATCAGTAAAACAAGGATTTTCAACAATTCTTTCTCCTCTTAGCAGTCACCCATGTTTTTTCAAATTTCAGAGACCTTGCCATTAACTAATCCTCAGGATTTTTTTTTGATAATTTTGCTGTTTGACAACAAAGATTCTTACTGTAATAATGAAAATTAAATGATTCTTTACAATAAAATCACACATTATTAGTTTATTTCATTGACTGCTAGTTGTAAAAACACAACCATATGACAATTATGTAATGATGGTTGCCTCATATCTATCTTCCAAAGGAATAAGGGGGAAATATCTCTTAACTTTCAGTTTTTTGGAAGGTATTGTAGCCTGAAGACACACTTGAACTTGACTCTAAATTAAGATGTTAAATGATGTTGCCCCCTAGCTGGATCTCTTGAATCTATTTTTACTAATTCAGAGTTCTCCCCACCCAGACTAGTGGCAAATAAAACATGCTACTGTAGGCCTATTTGGAGTTTACAATACAGTGCAGTATATATGATTTTCTCTAGGTATCCCACCTCAAACTAAAACACAATAAAACAGCCAAAAAATATTTTCATTATCCGTGTGACTTTTTCTGTGCCATCACTTCACCCAATATAAAAAGAAACTTCTTCTGAGTATTACCTATTTATTTTTATAGCTGTTATTGTTAGCCCTATAATATATATAGACCTAATAAAACGAAGGGCTTAAGAGAAAATGTGGCTCCAGTAGGATTCTTGCTGATCAGTCCTGACTTTCATTAGGATTTCTGAAACTTGGAAGTGCAACATTTATTGTTGGAAAAATAAAACGAGACTTTCTTTCAAGTGTTAGGGAAACTGTATCTACCGTAATTGAATAACACATTAGTAAAAGTACATATAATAATTGTGCCTGGTAGTCCACATAAAGTATATAGTACAAGCTTTTTTTCTAACTAAAATATCATTTACGCTAAGAGAAAATGCCATACAATATTTTGTCCCCCCCCCCCCGCCCCAAAATCATGAATTCAAAACACAGTCATAGGACTTAGGAATGAAAATTGTATTGATGGTTGCTCACTAAGTGAAAAGAGTACAGCTCATCCATATTTTATGATACAGAGGAGGATACCACAACATTTACACCAGCATATGAAAGAGAAGACCACCATTATCTGCATCCAGGAAATCCTGAAGATCAAAATCCCCAGGATCCTAGTAAGTGCAGTAATTGTAGTATTTGTTGTAACTTGGTTTTAACCATGACAATGTATTTCTTCATTCTTTTGACATTGACTATATAGTCTATATATGGAGACTATATTCATTCATATTCCTCTGTTTTCGAATCATACATTTAAGCTCTTGTATCTTCTAAAGTAAAGAGTATCTTGAATAACAAGAAATAAACATTCTAGCATATGACAGGAGCATTTAGGTTTAGTATATCCAGTTTTTATACTGTGTAATTGCCTCCGATGGTATGCTATATTAATGAGCTCATAGGATTTGATATCTCTGTTGTAGAGCCATTAGGTATTTGCTTCAAAAATGAGGATCATGGATAAGGGCAGATCAGATAATTTTATATGCTCTAGTGATAGGCTCCATTTGTGCCTGGGTTTGCTCTATGAAATATTTCTGAATGCATATATTTATCCAGTAGAGTGCCTACAGTCTGTGACTAAAATTAAAATTTCTATCCAGTAGAGTGCCTACAGTCTGTGACTAAAATTAAAATTTCTGGCAATATCCATCCCGCCAAAAACCTGTTAAATTGTGATGGAATGTGTACCTGGAGAAGCAGTGGAAAGGAGTCTTGGTAGCACAGAGCTTTCCCAGGGAGAAAGCAGTTCCTTTCAGAGAAAAGCCCAAATTAACAGACTGTGGTCCCAGGTGTAGGGGGAGAGAGGGGAGAGACTTAGGATAGCCACACTGTAGAATCTGTCAGTGTATATTATTATTGTAGAGGGTTAGAGTGTCAGTAGGTAAGATTCTGCCCATTAGGTGTAAACAAATAAAAGATTGGACTCAACTGGATTTGTTGTCTTTGAGGTTGGACCTGATATAAATATGCAGACATATCCTTTGTGTAAGTCTTCTTGGAAGAAGTAATTGGATTTTTTTCTTAGTATTTCTAACAATTATGTTGGAAAGATGTCATTGTGGATCCTTCATCTAAAATGCTCATTGAAACCCTTTATGACTTTTTGTTTTATGACTATGTATACAAAATCAAAGAAAGTATTTACTTGGTTAAGATAACATTTCATATTTAGAGGAAGAACTTCAGTTTGAGATTTTGTCATCCAGCTTTGTCATGGGATTTCATCTTGCAGTTGATTTCACCTTGCATTTCTTCATATATTGAGTGTTTTTATATTTTTCTGCCAAGTGCTATTGCTATTCTCGGAAGTGGAGCCAAAGAGAATTTCATATTAATCCAAATAACAGTTTTATATGAATTGTTCTAATCTAATGGATCATTTCTTTCTTATTTATCATTTTACATACATACTAACTATTAACATGACTTTGGTATTGCAACAGTTTGTTTTCTCAGCATTGATTTTAGATTTCTTAAAGAAGTTGTGAGTTATACAACAGCCTAACTAATGGAAGATATTCTCAAGGTGATATGAATATAAACTTGTTTTCATTGTCTTCATAGAACTGATTGATCAATAATCTCCAATTTCCTAATGATTCCCTCCCCCCAATTCCTGATGTTTAAAAACATAGAAATAGGCACAAGATTATCTAGTGGAGATCTACCCATTAGAAAAACTTTTCATAGATTTTTTTTCCTTCCAAGATAGTGGTCACTCTGTCCAATATATGTATCTAATTATTCATAAGTGTGCATCTTTTTTCTATTTTGAAACATATTTAGCAGCAATGTGCAATGGTCTTTTCTCTGTAGAGAAAGATGGTTTAATTTATGCAATAGCATTCATTTTTTTCAGAGATCCTGCATTCATAATGAAAACCGTTGTTATTACTTTGGATATTTACCTGCAATTGCCAATTTTCAGGATTTGCTTTTGGCAATGCTTACTTTGAATGCAGCTTTTTTGTTTCAAGAATTTTCAGAAATTAGAAGCATAAACTTATTTTTGGTGAAAGTTGGCAAACTCAGAAGCCAATTTTCATCAATTCATGAAAAGGTAAGTTGGAAACAGGCATCAAAGTTCTGGTCAATAAAGCCATTTAAACTAGTGTTTTATTTTGTTTTGTTTTTAAATCTGGAACCATTCCTTGAATTCATGGAAAAGCTGATTTCTCAAATATCCAGGGATAAAGAATTTTTTATGCTAAATTATTGCAGCTATATGATTCAAAACCTATAAAAAGATTTTGTCTCTGTGCTTGTCTACGTTGTGTAGTAAATAACATTAAGATAGAATTGACAGAACACTTATTATTTCAAGTTATTCCAAACATTGCTGGTGGTGGTTGTGAATGGGAATGATTTTTGTGTAGTCTTCTGCTCTGTGCCTAGATCAAGGATTAATGTAATCCTATTGATCTGTGTCGGTTGCAATATTATACTCTGGGTTCCTTCCTCTCAGATGATTCATCCTGTCAAAAGCATCTCTCAATAGCTTGTATGTGTTTTTCTGCATTTGGGTGAGTGCATGGGTGATATGATGGAATTTCCCTGGTTTAAGTTTTCTAATTTGCAACTAACTTTTTGTTAGCTATAAATTATAATTGCACTGAATATTCTATTGTGGTGCACAGAATGTATATTCATGCAAAATTTGTTTGTATCATATAAAGCATTTTACACAAGAAACTTTGGTTTGGGGAGGGAACTTTGGTTACATTAATACTGCTACATTGATGTTGCTTTTTAGGAAGTGAATATACTTGAACTTTAGCTTTGATATTTCCACATAAATACAATATATGTATATTATATATTGAACAGAGAAAAGTTACAGTTCTAAAACAACTGCGTACAATTATGATTGTATGTACTTCAGATTATGTGATTGACTGGCAGATAATGAAAATTGCATTGAGTAATAGGCAATCCAGAAAAATGTTTTACAGTTCAATCCCTATACCAAATAAGTTTCATTCCTGGTTTTGTTTGGAAACTCAAAACTGAGAGCTAAGTGTTTCCATTCTTAGACTATGTATAAAAACAAGCTACACTTGTGTGTGCAATATGTGATGGAATTTCAGCATATATTTCTTAACCATAATCACTTCTACTCTTTACTTCAATGGGTTCTTCTTCTTCATCTGCTTGAGAGCTTCTGTTCTTTGTATTGTTATTCTTTTCTCTTTTATCATTGAGAATTATCTCTTTAGATGTACTTCTTTGTATTCTACAATGGTGGAAATTACAATACTGTTCTCTATCTCTGCATTGCCACAAGGAAAGACTGAAACTTGACATTTGAACAAAAATAACTAGAAATGTGATCCTTGAACTAACTTCCTATTTGAAAATCCCATTGCAGCAAATTAAGGAGCTTCAGTTCAAGAATGCTGGGTATCCCAATTTATTTCCGAACTAACAATAGAAATACAAATTCTTATCATCCTTTAATATAACCATAATGAAACTAGATTTGTTTGAGAAGCAAAACATCTGGATTTAAAGATAACACAGCTCAACTTTCTACTACTATCAGTAATATTTTTTTTTCTTGGAGTGCTTCAGAAGTTTTCTGGTATTTTCTGGTTGTGACACTACCTTTATTACTCGGATTCCCTTTCCAACCCCCACATCTTTATTTTGTGTTCATAATGTTTTTGTTGTTAGTGTATAATTCACATTGACTTAGGGTACTCCCAAAATAAAATAAATATGAGTATATTATTTGAAAACCAACAACAGAAGAACATGGGAAGTGACCCTTTATCATCCTCTACGAGGAAGTTCTATTGATCGAAGATACAACACATATTCAACACTATAGTTATTCTGCCATCATTACAGCTGAAGAAAATTCAAATCATGGAAAGCATCATGGAAATTCTAGTCAAGATCAGCAAATCACTGAAGATTTTCCATTATGGTGGCCACCTGAAGAACATCAAGGAATGCAGAATGCAACCTCCAGTGAGGGTAAACTCTTGTAATATTTTAGTAAATCATAGTCTCTGCCTATCCTTTTTTTCAAAATTTCTGGCAAAAAGTTTAGCTTCCCTGGAAAAAAATTGTTGCATATATTTTTCATGAGTGCTGTTTGAATAGTTCTGGTATTGGTGCATTAAAAACATGAACTGTAATAGCCAAGTAACTACTTATGTCATGTAGAAATCTGTTGTTTGGACTTAAGTGAAACTGTTGCTTTAAGAGCACACTTTAAGTATGCTTTAAGGGCATGCTATTTTAGGAATTAATCTATGTGCTGACATGTAGAAAAGCTAATGGATCTCTTGTACATATAATATGGAAAGACATATGCTTGCTTCAACTAAAATTATAGTGCAGGGCATTGCTTGTTAATAAACAAAGCCAATTACTAAACAGTTAATTGTTTTAGACAAATTTAAATCTTCCTTTCAGTTTACTTTTAAAAATAAAATGTGTCCCATAATTTACATTCAGATAAGACCTGCAAGCATTTTCTTTTTAATATGTACTGTAAGTCAAAATCCTCATTTTCTGTACCAATATTGTTTATCTAAGTGCCTTGTAAATCATTACTATTTCAAAGCAGCCCATTTCTGTAATAGTTACAATTTAAAGGGGAAAAAAGCTTGACAACATGTCAAAGAAAAGTCATATGAGCTGGTTCCTTAATGGATTTAAACTGGGCTGTGTAATTGGAGAAGAACAAAATATTTCTAAAATCCTGAATGGTGCCTCTCTCCATTTATTTTGTCATAAATTTCCCATAGTCATGCTGAGGTTCCAGTTATACCTCCATAGTCGTATATTCCTGAGCTTGATACATAAAGTTATTTTCTTGCCAAATATTTACCGTTTTAATTCTCCTTCGAATCCAGAAAGTTGTCATTTTGATTTCCTTTTTACTCTATTCAATATGGTTCCTTCAAACCATATTGTTAAATATGGGGAGTATGATCATGCTCTGCATATGGTCCAGCAGGATAAAACCCTTTTCAGAAAGATTCACTTTGGAAAAATTACCAGGCTATTCCCAGATTAGCTGGATCAGCATTATCTGGAGGAAGAAATGGACATTTTCCTGAACTATTCTATCTTCACAGAAAGAACAGTTTGTACATATTTTCTCCCTGATATAAAATTGTCTTTAGACACACAGTTAAGTTCTGACTTCTTTCCCAGGCCTTTGAATCTGAATGTCCTAATTGTAGAGTTATAGTATATTTTAATCTGGTTGCCATTTTATGATTTTAGTTGACTTTCAGTGTATTGTGAGGAGGTTTTGGTGGTGGTGGTGAATTGTACTTATAGTTGATTATTTGTATGCTGCTTGGGTTGATTTTGCTTGAGTTAAGCAGCCATATAAATGTTATAAAGACCTACACACCAGAAAAGAACTGAAATACATATTTTAAAAGTCAACATGGGGGCTTTAAGCAAGAGAAAGTTGGCTACAAGTGAGCCTTTTTATACTCTAATATGAATACCTGGTTGCAAAATACATGAACAGGATGCCAAAGATGAACAGTGCTTGCTTTTCATATTGTCCTATGTACTCAGAAAAACCAAATTACAGTTGTGCCTCTTAAGTTGTATCATTCATAACTGATATACAGCATGGATACTCATTGAAATAAAGTGTAAGAATAAATAAAGGCACCAGCATATAAATAAAGAAAAAAGGAAATAACTTACAGTTTTGAGGAAGATAATTTTTAATTTATATTATTATGAACATCATTTTTCTGATCTTCTTTCCATGACTTAATGTAACTTTGTTCTGACATGTATGTATAGGCTGTGCGTATTTTGATAATTAAGTCAAAACATGTAGTTGAAGTGGAAATGCCAGGTTGGTGATTACTTGAAATGAACTGCAAAGTCTGTAATATTCCTTTCTGCAGTTCAATCAGGCATTGTTAGTTTACTTAATAAAAATATTGCAAACTCATTTACCTAGTTTTCAGCCAGATATTTCCACAGTTAACATGTCAATTCAGCATCGGTTAACTCCTTTTGTATCTCCTATTCAATACTGATTTTTAAGGATTTTTAGGTAGCATAAGCTTTAGGACAACTATGTAATCTTAAAAAATATACATAATATTAATTTTTATAGTAGTACCAGAAGGAGTCTTTGATTGCTAAGACTATTCCAATTTTACTATCTCAGTTTAAAAGTAAAAAAGTTGTTCATTCAAACTCATTCAGAAAATTCAATTAAATCACCTCTTAGTATTTGGAATAAAATTACATTCCATATTATTGTATTAGTGCATTTAATGTAGTCATGGCTTTTTAATAACTTGTTAGTACATTCTCCTGATTGGATTTTTTGCAGGATTTTTTTCCCCTTTGGCTGTACATAGATTTTACTCCTTTCTCTGTGATTTTGCATAATTTTACCAAGCCCAGTGAATCTGGGAAATGTGTGTTCACTGAATATTGTCTTCAGTCAACTCAGAATGTAATATAATTCCTATTGTGCTCTCATTTCTATATATAAGAATGTTTCCATTCTATTCCATGCTTTCCAAATAAATTTATTCACGTCCCATTTACATTCTTCAAAACAACTCTCTTCCCCGCCCCATTTTATGGGGGGAGATTCTTTTAAGAGTTAGGATTAGAATTAGGTTTGTAATTAGAAACAGTCTCTCAAGTACCTCGTATCTCATTTAAATGTTGCAGTTGCTGAAGTAAAAATGATTCTGTATGTGTTTACTATAAAAATGTGTTTTGTCTCCATTAAATTACAATCAGGGCACAATCCAGATTCTATCATTCATTTAAAGTGAACTTTTTTTTTTGCATGCATACACACACACACACACACACACACACACACACAGCGCAATGGAACTGAAATTAGATAATCTTATTGACTGTTCCAATCAGTGAAGCAAGAACATATTAATGATATAGACAACAGAGAAATGGATAACTGGATGAAATATATAAAAATCTTACCATAAGTTTACATCAATAAATCAATAGATCCTAGTTTTGAAGATGATGATGATGATGGTGGTGGTGATGAAGAAGAAGGGTCTGGGCAAAAAAATCCTGAAACAGTTCTTGAGTGGGACAACAGTGGTGATAAGGAACTTCAGACGTCAAATACCAGTAAGAACTAACCCCTATCGTGCATTGTATTATAGAAAATAATTAAGATATTTTAGATGTAGACTTAGATCTTCAGCAGTATAGTATTTGTATTGATCTACAAAAGATTATTTTATCTGAGATAGATAATAGTAAATAATAGCAGAATTTCAGTTGAAACCAGCAGATATTTTTTGCGCTGTATTTCTCTGCATGGTCTGTTTTGCATAACTGGCTTTTGCATTGGAAAATGTCTATCTTGGCTAATGCTGGAAATGGAAACCCAGCAATGCTGTCAAGGTTTGTGCCTAAAATCTGTGCTTATTTTGAATGGGAAGGGGCCAAATTCTGAGCTGCCTTATCTGCTTTCCATTGATGTTTGCATTCATTTGGAAAATCCAAAATTAAATGTCACAGTGGTAAATATCTATGTTCTTTGGCAGAGTTAGCTTTGGTTTTGGTGGTGGATATTATGATGCTGCAATGTTCTCTACGCATAAATCTGAATAAATTTCTTTCTTGTTAATAGCCACTTTGGTTAGTTAACAAGTGTGTTCAATTAATACCATTTTTGCTATCTTTTTTCTATTTTAATTTATTTTATTGTACCCATGCTAATGTTGGGGAGCAGATGGTGTTGGTGAAGGAACTATATGGTTAATGCAGATTAGCATTATATGAAGAATTTTAAAAAATATGATCACATATTGAAAAGGTGTTAGCTTTTATTCTTTTTATTCTACATTTCCCAACATGATTGATTCTGTTCCTATAGTAGCAAACTATTTGCCAGATGAAAACTTTCCTCTTATGTAGTTCCATGCCAAAAAAAATCTATACCTATACAGATGTTGTGCGCCATGAAGCTATTCAAAGTTCAGAAACTTTTTTTAATGCTAGTGTTACACTTAGATGCTTAGCGTTGTTGATTCAAACCTAATTTCCTTTAATGTAGAACCAGTTTGATGTAGTGGTTAAGACATCAAACTAGAAACCACCCGCAGTGAATGCTTTCAACAAAGGGAGAGGATATTGCTGGTTCTTTTACATCTGATTATTTCATTTGTCTGTACCAGAAATAGTGCATTTCTGATGAGACAGTCATGCTTGGGGGCTCACGTATGCAAATTTTTCAAGTGCCTGAAAGTACATGTGTGATCTGTACTTATAAACCTTTGCCTTGACATATACATTTACATTATTCTCTAAAATAACTTAATCCGAAGTGCTAGTTGATAGTGCGATTCCAAATATTCAACCGATTGTCAATTGAACCATTGTCACAACAGCTGTGAACTCCAGCAAAGATATCAAACAAGAAGAATCAGCCCACAATATATTGCTACCTGCTGTACATTCTGGAAAGGAAAGTGAAGTCAGTTACTCAACAAATGACACAAGTGCGGATGTCCTACCTGGAATTGTTGAACAATATTCAACCACTACCGGTATGAGGAATTAAACATGATACTGAACATATTTTTCATTTATGTTGGTTATTCTTTCCACAATATCAAAACTCAGAATGTAGTTAGTAGTTGGAAGTATTGATAATTTTAACTGGAGTGTGCAGGTAATACATTGTGATTACTTTAAATAGGAAATAGACTCAAACATATAGAGCCGTTTTCCAAAAGTATTTGCTTTTATCCACCAAAACAATGATATTGAAGATGTAAATATTATGCAGCTTTGGTGAAGCCAGAGTCTCACAAGTAGCACTTTAAAATTATTTCAGGCTCCACAGTTTTGTGAAAGTTACTGAAATGCCAGATTGGTGCATTACTCTGTACAGGATACTACTAACAGATATTTAAAAATTGGCTTCAATCTATTGCTTTTTGAAAGTTGAAATAAAACATGAGATTGCTTTCTAGGTATTCCTTAATTTAAAGAGAACTGCATAAACCAGTGCTTTCCAAACCTGGGTAAATTATTCAGAAATGTGTAAAAGTAGACTTTATTTGGGTTAACAACCCGCAAACCCATTTCCCAATCACAATAGGGAAATCTCAGTTGACTTAGAGTGTTTTACCTACATTGGGTAAAAAGGACTTTTTCTAAGTGGTTTTGTATAATAAAGGAAAATGTTTTGGAAGCAGTGGCTTAAAGCATTTTACAAACAAATATTTGGGTAATAACAATTGCTTTTTATGTAAAGGCATTCTTTTGCCAACATTAGAACAAGAGAAATAGATTGTATATGTATGTTGATAGACAAACTTGATTGTAAAGTTGCAGCTTTATTTCTTATGAAAAGTATTGACATCTTCTCTTGAAGATGGGAAGATCTCTCTTACTGCACTGGGCTTTTTGTGGGCTTTCTTTCTTGAGTTATCAATTCCAATTTTTCTCACTATCTAAAGCTTTTTCTCTTACGTTTGGTGATCATAATGCGTGACACATTATGTTTTCTGCTAAATTATTTAATAAGTTGACAATGGAGGATAAATCTGGTATTTTCGCTTCAATATTTCATAGTGTTTCTACTTCAATTTCCTTGGATTTATACAGCAGCACCTTTAGAACTGAATAAGTTTAATTGTCTGAACTTCATCCTGGCAATGAATGCCATCCAAAATAAGTCTTTGGCTTGACAATATAAATCTGGACTATCTGAAGTGAGTGTCCAAAATATTTCAAGAAAGAAAATGTCCAAATAAAAGAAGAAAAGGAAGAAAAAGGAGAATGTTCTTGGACTAAGTTGCTACTGTGAATCCAGATGGTACAAAGCCTTTTGCATCTATCAGACACATTTGATAGATCAGATAAGGGTGCAAGCTGCTCTCACATCTTTTCTGCCTCTACTGCTGTTATATTCCTTCTACTATTGTTCCTGGTGTCTGGTGCATCTCTGGAAAATCAACCATTTCTGAAAATTGTGGTGATGATTTTGGGGCCTGTGAATTCAACAATACTTTCCAAAATTTTACCTACTTTCCTCTTCCTCTGCCTAACACACGTAATGAAAGTGCAAGCCATATATATATTTTAACAAGATAATCTGGAGGGTTGTTCAGGAAATACAATAATGGAATTGATTCAAAACATCATCATAACAGCTGTGTCCTCCAGTGATGATTTCTTCAAGCAGGAAGACTCAAAGCAGCCTCAACTGGAAGGTGCATCTTCTGAACTGGTAATTGAAGAAACAGTATCCCCCGCAATCAATACTTCAGATGTGTTACATCCAGTATTTCTCCCTTCTGAAGAAAAAGAAAATATCCTGGAAAAAGAATCTTTTCATCACCCAGGTAACAATATGAATACTACCATTAAAGGGCCAACTTTTTCTTTAAATTAGCTGCATTTGTTTTTTCATCCAAATTTCTAAACAAAATATTTTACTCTTCCACACAAGGTGTAAATTGTAAACAAGAACTGTGTTTTGCTTCCCCACCCCCCACTCAATTATTTTAGAGTTGATTTAGATAGCAGCTTACAGATTTAAATAATGACGCTCCAGAAAGACATTATGTGAAAAGTTATTTATATAGTTACTTTGCAAAGCCATTATGTCTTAAGATATACTAGAGATAAGAAGTCAATTTCCAAACAGAATTACTCTCACAGAATCTATATTCTTTATTTCTCTGTAAATTCACCTGTAATTTGCAAACGTCTTAGAACAGATTTGCAGTTCTAATTTATAAGGAGCAGTAAGGTTCATTCCAGGTAACAAGGCTCTTCCTTTGATATCTGACATGGAGAGTCACAGGGTAGATGAACCAGTGGTTTGATGTAATAAAAGGTTTCAGATGTAAGAATAGAAATTTATAGACTTTTTACTGTCTGAACAAACTAGAGGTCTCTGCTGCATCTGTCTGGCAGAGCAATGACTCATGCCCATTTACAATGATTTGTTATTGCATACTGCATATAATTTTATTAAAGTAAAATCTTGGATTTCAGGTGATTTGAACCTCCTGAAATTACTGGATGCCTAAATTTGATTCATAGAAAAAGCAAAACATTTGGCTTAGTTCTGTTTCCATATAACCTGGGGAATTATACTTCATGCGGTTACTTACTTTAATACTGGCAGGAAATTTGTGAACTATGCTGAACCCAAGACACCTAATAACTTGTTGATATTAGAGATCTAACACGCAAGGAAACTTTTGTATATGCTCCTTTTAAACTGAGTCAGAAAGCCTAAATACATATTTGTTTGTCAAAGCAACCTCAAATCTTTGAATCTGAGACACCATCAACTGAATACACAAATAGTTAAAATTTATTCCTGCCTTATTTACCATAACTGCAACAGTTACATTCTTCAATGGAAGTATTGAACATGAAGAAGAACATCAACATCAGCCATCAGCTGTTGATACAGTTGCACAAAGGAATCAAAGTTCTGTTGCAAACAGGACAATCCTACAAATCCTGCGTGATGTCCTAAAAGTACTTGTAACTTCAAGGGACAGCTATTATGAAAATGCATCTTCTCAGTCAGGTATTGGCAATATGACTGTTGAATATAAAATTTACTGTGTATATTATTTCTAACAGTGTGGCCATTAACAGCACCCATGGTTCTACTGTTGTAGGTGGACATCTTCTAAAATGTGCTCCGTGAAAGGAGCTGCTATAGTAACAAATGGAAATTTGAAATTTCCTTTATTTTGGTTCTGGCAGTTAGGGAAAGTGGGCCATGTTTAATCTATTTACTAAAATTGAGTTCCTTTTGGAAATTATCTGTGACAATTGATGTTCATTCTTCTGGATAAGTTATTTTCTTTTTTAATAATACTGATCTGCTTCCCAGAAATTTTTATACAGTAGGTAGAGCTAGGTGAAATAGACAGAAGAGAATTAAGAAGAAAGTTGTGCGAATATAGTCTTAACATAGATTCAAGTATTATTATAGAAGCTGATGATCTACAAAAATTTCTCATGACCTGTTGAGGCTGCATTAGGTGGTCAATGCTTGCCTGAATAGATGGATACTTTGCCTACATTTTAAATGCATAACTGGAAATCACCTGAAACAGCTTCCCAGATGAAAATAGAAATACTTTCAGTTTTGTTATTATTGTTATTGAAGGTCCATTATATTTTGCCAAGTACTTGTATAAGTATACTTTGTTTAATGACCACAAGGGGACTAGCAACTCAGTCACTAAGCAATGCAGTTGTTATGTGGGTCACCTGTGGTTAAGTGAGACATCGCATGATTGAATTGTGTCTTTACTTCTGGCTTCTCTGTTGACTCTGCTTGTTAGAAACTGGCTGTGAAGTGCTCAAATGGCAATCATGCAATTGTGGAACAAATGATTTTGTTCAATGCCTGCCAGTTATGATTGTTAATGCCTGCCAGTTATTAATTGCCCAGATAGCAATCCCATGATTGTAGGTATGAATACAGATCAAAAAGTTAGTTTTTCAACACTGTCATAATTTCAAACAATCATTAAATAGGGCAGATATTAATTGAGGACCACCTGTACAAAATAATAATCCTCTTTTTAATTTTAGCAAAAAAGGGACTTATTCCACAGCAGTATTTGTTCTTTCTTTGTAAAAGAAAATGCACTTATTTTTCACTATTTTTTCTAGCTGAATTAGGTCCTGTAGATATAGATCTAATAGACCCCTTTGGTTGAGAGCTGGACATGATTAAATGGCGACAACAATGCTTCACACTGAGAGCCAGTTTAATCTTGTGATTAAGGTTTCAGACTAGAAAGCAGGAAACTCTGACTTCTAGTCCCATATTAATCCCAAAGGCGGAAGGGTAACCTTGGGCCAGTCACTTTTTCTTAGCCCTAGGAAGCAGGCTTTGGCAAAACACTTCTGAAAAACCTTGTCAAGAAAAGCACAGAGGCTTGTTCAATCAGTTTCAGGAATCGGACATGATTGAATGGAAGGAAGAAAAAAAACTTATTTCATATGGCATGTAAACATTTTTACTCCACTAAAACAGTTTTAAGATATTCTTGGTTTTCTTTTTCTATTTATAACTATGTAAATGAGAAACTGGAAAAGTAGCTCCGAAAAGTATTTAAAACTGACCCAGCCATCTTTGTAACAGCAGTAGTTTCCAGTGTTAGCACTGACTCTGAAGTTCCGACTCGTGATTCATTATTACACTTAAAGAATAGTGAAGAAAGATATCACACAAACACATCTAGAGAGCAATTGCTGCCTGGAATTCTTCATCCAACTGCAAGTAAGCATGAAAATAATATTTCACATTTAGGTATTAGCAATGTTTTTTAAAAAATTTGTATTCTATTATTTTTCTGGTTGAATTGTGCTATAGCTTTAAATAGAATATGAAGCCATTAACTATTGTTCCAAATGAATTGTAAATTGTTATTAATAAAATTTGATCATATGTGATTAATACGTAATGTGACAATAAATCTTAGCTGTATAGGGATACGTTTTGTTTCATCCATAAAGATTGTATTTGTACATTAGTATAGAATATAATATTGTATTGACGATAGATAAATTCATAAATAAAATTTAGAAAAAAAAATCACAGAATTGATTTTCTCTCTGGGGAATTTCTCCAAAGAAATTTTAGTTGATATTAGGTGAAGAAATTTTTATTCATTTTCATATTTCTGAACTAGAAAAGAGATTACTTAATCTATTGTTGTAAATAATAAGTAATATGCAATCAAGGGAATTATATTTAAATTTGTATTAGAATATGGTTCAACAAATGTGGCATATGCAAACAAAACTTTTGAAATCAATTATTGCAGCAACTGTAGTCTCCAAGGAGAAAGGCAAAGGCAACGAAACCACACAAAATCCATTTTATGACATCCATCCAGGACTGGACAATAAAAAGGATCTCACTGAGAACAAAACTAGGGATGATGTTCAATCTGAAATTATTCAGATTGAGAGAAAGCCTGAATTGGAAACAACTCAGACAGGTATTTCTCAGAAGATATAATTTTAACCAGCTTATTCTGCCATGTTTGTGGTCTTTCTCAAAAAAGAAAAAAAAGATAAATATATGATATTTCAACATATAATCTGTATAAAAGTACAGCCAGAAAATATGTTTAAAATTATGTTGAATAGATAATTAAACTGATGGTTTAGCATCAATTCCTCAGGGTTTACAAGAAGACAATTTACGAACCAGTTTATGGAAGAATATTAATTCATTTCATTTGTTTAGGTGTTGAAAATAGTCACTTGAAAATGAATACTATGAATGTTTCACTAGCAATGTTCTATCATCATAATCCAAAATTAGGGAAATATTAATACTTTGAAATTAAAATATGTCTGCTCAATGAAAAATACCTACATTTGTCAAACCAGTGCAGTGATTTGCAGGTCAGAAAGACAGAAGCCATGCATTGTATATATGTTTTAGAAATTTATTTAGTGAAAGTCACTCCTATTTTATTTCAAATCAATCCATCCATATTATAATAGCTATGATTTCCACTGAACCTGATGATTATAAGGATTCTACCCAAGATCCATTGATTAAGGAAGATCCTGATTTGAAAGAAAAACTTCACCCTACAAATTCATCAATAAATGATTTCATACCTGGAATTAATAATCTCCCAGACAATGTGCAAGAGAACAAAACATCGCATACAGGTACTAGGGGGAAACAAGAATTAATTTTATCTGTATTGCCATTCTAGATCATTTACTATAATAGCCTAAATTAATTATGCTGAAACCTTCAGGACATGGAAGATATTTATTCAGTGGGTGGAAAGAAGTAGTTCCAAGTGGAATCAAATTTAGACAAAACTCTATTATTGAAACAGCTATAGTCTTTAATAATTGCTACATGAACCATTTATACATGTTAAATAGGCATGAAGTTTTGAAAATAGTCTACTTGCTTCTGTTGTAATGGTGTTGCATACAAAGTTCACATCTTTAGTATGAAAGAGTTTAAATAGAAAGGGAATCTACAGGTCTGCTAGATATCAAATTAGTAGTTCATTTTGTAGTTCATTTTGTAGTTCTGTTTCCCCTGTAACCTTGCTTTAGTCAAGGATTAAATTCATATTGCTGCATTTTTACAGTAGTTATCTAGTTAAATATTAATACAATGCCAAAAAAGTACCAACTACTGAAAAAAATGTAGGAAGTGATTGTGCAGCTGTTCCACAATATTTAAAAATTATCCAACCATCATTAGAATAATTGTGAGAATTAATGAGAATACCAGACATGAAGATACTACTCATCAAGTAATACGTAATGTATATGATGAATTGAATAAAGAACATAAAAATCTCACAACATCACAAAAGGCAAAGGAACACTGGATGTTATTCCATCAACTGGACAAAGTAGTGCAGCAAAACCTTTCATATAGATAGTATTGGTTAATATGCTTCCAATTACAGTGGTCCTTGGGGATATATTACATTGAGTGAATCATAAGATTATTTTTAGTCAATGAATATAATTGACCCGATGGCAAACATGCTCAAAAGCTCATTTTTTAAAAATACAGAAAATATGAAGTAGAAATTTTGAGCAATAATTATTTGGATGGGAATTCATTTGGACAATACACAGATTAACATTTTAAATATCCAAATCTAAGTTCATCGTTGGTTCATCAAACAGTTGCCATACTCAAGGATCTTGAAGATTCAGCTCAATCACCATTGCCTCCTATTTACCAGCCAGACTGGATCAGTGAAGAAAAACCTACTAATACTTCCAGTAATGACATGGAAATCAGTAAACATCATGAAAATGAACGTGATTCTTATGAAGGTATTGCTGTGAATAATATTGTCCTTTCATAGTGATGGATGGATGAAGCATGGTTTCATAGTACCTACAGTGTGTGTGTGTGTGTGTGTGTGTGTGTTAAGTTTTCGCGGGTACTTACATATATGGTATTCAGCTTTGTTCGGGTATTTTCCCACGTCATAGTTGCGCTTTTAAAGTTGTAGCAACGTTTCGGCAGAATCTCATCTGCCATCATCAGGCTTCTGTATTGAGTTCATCTGTATTGAGTTCGACAAACACATTCTGAATCTTAGTGTTATAATCTACATTTTGATATATTTATCTTATTCAGTATATGGTGATCTGCATTTTTTCTAATTCTCCAAAGGCATCCAGTGATTATTTCTGGGATAACAAATTGATTGGAAACTTGCAGTGAGTGTGTGTGTAAAATTATGATTTTACACAATTATGATTTAGATTTAGGATATAATGTTACCAAAGCAAGAATGCATATAGTGATGGGGAAGAGAGGGAAAACCCTTTTAAAAGCCCAATTTTAAGCGGCAACCATTGTCTTTACTTGTGAATTATTTTGCTGTCTGTGCATAACAATAGATATCATGGAAAATCTGCGTACCAATTTTACTACCGGTAACCACTAATAATCTTTGGTGGACACAGGAAAGAAAACAGAGCACCCAACAAGAGTTAATTAGGATGGGACTTGCTGTAAGAATTATAGTGTGCTTTTTTGTATGCTTGAATTATAACCAATATTATATTGTTCTGCGGGGAAAAAAATTGGACCTGTGCTGCCAAGGGAATGAAAATGCAGCTAATAGTTTTGTTTCATTCTCCATTGCTTTATCGCTGCCATAGATATGGGCTTTTATGGGACCAAAGAAGATCCAACCTCAGAACCAGTGAGGCAATGGGTTAGTGAAGACAAGTATACTGCAAAACCCACAATGGATGTGTTATATCCCGGAATTGTTCCTCGAAGAGGAATAAATGAAAAAAATAAAACTGATCATACAGGTATCCACTAGAATGGTGGTGGGATCTTTTTTACCTTTCTATTAGGTGAGATATTCTTCTGTTTTTAATTTCGTGTCTATTTTAGGCATGTAAAAAATGCGCCTAAGAACACTTTATGAGTGAGGTATGTCACTTTCCATTGGATAGAATGAGAGCCTGGAAAGGAAATTTTTACTTTGTCCCAGGTTCATTCATAGTCTACATGGTTCTATTTATTTCTATCTATTATTCATCCAGCAATCTTTGTTTTATCTATTTCTAATGCTCAAATACATAAATAAAGCCAGATTCTTATATCCTCTTTCGATTTGTAAATTTCAGCCTACTGTATCATTAATGTTTTACAGGTTACTGGTGAAAATAATTGGTTGACAGGTCCTTGGTGCTCTCTGGTGCTCTGCTAGTACTACCTGGTTTGGGTAATGAAATATCTGCAAGAAAGCAATCAAGCTCAGAGAGCATCAAGGAGCCCACATTTCAACCCTGAGCTACAAATATTCTTTATTGGTAATTAATTGGTTGCATGATGATGATGATGATGATGATGATGATGATAAGAAAAATAACTATGGAATCAACATCTGAAACTAGTGAACTAATGGCTCTTTTTGACTGTAATTAGGATTTGAAATTACTAACAAAAAATCTTGAATAATATAGATGTTTATATAATTTATTGTTTCACTGAAATTGTTTCCTTGGATATGTGTGGAAGAATAGTGGGTGAATAAATAGGTTCATACCAGAATGCATGTGACTGCTATGAATGCAGTAGCCACGGTCATTCTGATGGCTTTTGGCCAATAAGATCATAAGAATCACATGTCTTTGAGGCATTCAAAGTTCAGTGCCCATTCTGGATTAAAATAATTTTACATTTGGCATCATGAGGAAATGAGCTACATTTTTGTGATATACACATTTTGAAAAGCATGTATTTTATGTACTTAAAACTAGTTTTTAAAACACTTTAGGTTATTTTTATGCAGTATTGTATAGATCTGCATTTAATATTGGAATCTATAAATTTCATTTTCTAAGCCATTTATTTGCCATGTAGGTCTGTTTACATTTACAAATTTATTTTGTTTCAATTCTTTCTGTCTAGTGATATCTTTAAATGTTTTTTAAGTTAGCATGACCAGCAGATTTCATGTACAAGAGAATATTTGTTGACAATGTAATAATAAGATGTCAATAATTGCGTGTTTATAATTGGGTTGCTTCCTGCTATCATTACAGTTTTTTTTTAAAAGGGTATTTAGTTAATTAGAGAATGTACAACAACTAGTAGTGCTGATACATGGATTATCTATCTGTGGAGATAAAATGTTGAATGAAATATTGTGTTTACCTTTTTTTAAATGTACTGCAATAGCTGTCAGCATCACTTACTATAGTCTGGTGTTGTTATATTTATTACAAGTAAAAATATATGAACTTTCTTAATATATTTTCATGTCTGTGCATGCATAAAAGTAACTTTGCTTATTAGTGTAAGGTAAGAGATGGACTTCATGCTGACAGTTATTGGAAGCATTTCTTTCTTTTTTTCCCCTTGTCCCTCATCTGCTTCTTAATCTATCACCACAGGTAGACCTTGATTTACAGCCATTTGTTTAGTGACCTTCAAAGTGATAACGGCACTGAAAAAAGGGAGTTGTGACCGTTTTTCACACTTACGACCATTGCAGCATCCTCATGGTTATGTGAACAAAATTCAGATGCTTCGCAGCTGGTTCATATTTATGACCCTCGCAGTGTCCGGGAGTCAGCTTCTGACAAGCAAAGTCAATGGGGAAACCAAATTTACTTAACAACTGTGCTACTAATTTAAAACTGAAATGATTCACTTAACAACTGTGGCAAAAAAGGTCATAAAATGGGGCAAAACTCACAAAACTCATTTTCACTTAGCAACATAAATTTTGGGCTCAATTCTGGTTGTAGATTGAGGACTATCTGTACTGTGCACATATTGCAACAGGCCATAATATTTGGCAATAAGAAAGAGAATATCTCTTACATTTCATTTTCATTTTTCCATTTTTTAAACTTGAAGTAAGAATTTGGTAGGAAAAGTTTTGATCCTGCATATATCCTGCTCATAATTGATTTAATTCTTGTTACCCCAGTTGTGGCCTCCAGTGATGGAGACAAAAATGAAAAATCAGATCTTGGTCCAAAGTGGCATCCTACATGGACCAGTGATGATGAAAATGTTATAAATAACAGTCAAGATCCTATAAACAGACATCCACCTTCCACAGACAGTAAAACCTATAGTATATGTTCCTATAACTTTAATATTTAGTTCCTGTCTCATAATTTATGAATTTGGATGACCTATCAGTAAAAATAAGAAAAGATTAATATTTATGAGGAAAGCAATGTGGAACTCTTGATTTTCAAGGGAAATCTTACTACAAACAAACTTGTCTATGGTCTATAACTTCATATAAAGATATATATGGTTGGAATATTGCCCACTAGGAGGTGTGTGATTCTCTGTGAAATTTTGTGGCTAGGGCGATAATTTTTCTATCGTTTCTCGCTGTGGAGTATTCTTTTCTGATTTCTAAAGAATAAGTAATTACTGTTGTATCACTTTTGGACATAATGACATGCATGACACTAATTTCTAATGTGTTGCAATTGACTACTTTTTCTAAATCTGATTATAATTGATTTTGGCTGAAACCAGGGAATTTTCAGATTTTCATTTAAAATAATAAAATACTGTAATTTGCAGGTTTCGATAGTCTTGCACGAGAACACCAAAATCTCATAAAATTTTGCTATTGCTCCTTGAGCTTTGAGAAGAAGTAATGAAATTGCATGATATTTCATACATTTGATTTTGGGAAATGGGACATTAAGGGTTAGAATTTTTAGTCTAAAAGCTGTAGGAGAGAATAATTTGAAAAAACAGATTGTTTAAATATATTTGCTACCTTAATTAGAACTTTAAATGAACTGTCTGTTATTGTTTACCAATCTTTAGATTATGCCATGTTAATAAATGAAATCAGATGAAATCAAATAGGCCGGTCTTTATATCAGCAAGAGAGGTTGCAAATTGATAGCAGCATCTACATCTGATACTTCTCTGAGTAGCATCTGAGACTTGTTCTGCTCTTGGCTAAAGAGGAATTTGGGGCTTTCCAGATATTCCAGTTTAACACTTTAAAAACCTTATGGGCTTTTCTGGGCTTTTCATAAATACTTCAGATAAATCCTGTAGTATTTGCTCTACTATTTATTCTAGAATAAGTAGCAGTAATTTCTCCTGTAGAATGATTTTTCTATCAGAAATTTTGATTAAAGTACTGTGCCTCCTAGTAAAATTCCACAGCAAATCAACACCAAAACACTCCTTTTCCATCATGTGCCTGTCTCAGATGTCAGTGCAAGGAAGTGTTAGATCCCTTCAGTGCAAAGGAGGCTTTTTTGAGATATCCATTGTGACCGAGACATAAAAGGAGTCTGATCTGGTTCGAATCCTGAATGTTTATAATAGTATAAACATTAAAAGGCGCTACTTGTATATCTCATTTTGTTCTTTCCATTAGCACAGTATAGTATGTACCACTATATTATATAGTATAATATATAACATATCTAAAAATTTATATAATAATTTAAATTTGGTAGACTTCTAGCAACAGAATGTCAGCTTTAGAATTTTTAGTCTAAAAGCTGTAGGAGAGAATAATTTGAAAAAAACAAATTGTTTAAATATGTAGAAATAAACAGAATTATAGGCCTGTTTTTCAGAATGTAGCTATTGTGAACTAGGTGAATTTGTAATCATGAATTCTAGAGCAAAAACTACTGTTTTCCTAATCTGATGTAGACTTTATTTTGCTGGATAAATTCTTTCCAAATTCACGAATCAGTTTAAGTAGGTTGTTTCTAACCTTTCTACTCAGTGCCCCGTGTATTCTCTGTGGATTCATTTTGATTTACTCATCATCTGGTAACCATTACGAATTATCTGAATTAGGTATATTGCAACATATGCTCACTGTCACAGTTACGATGTATTGAACTCTTGAATTCAAATGCTAATACTTTGTTTTTTATCCTTGGTATTCATTTAAATCACCATTTTTTATTGTTTCTAATACAAACCAGTGGGACTTACTGGAAAAGTAAGAGCAACCATAGTTGTATAATATTAGAAATATCAATTTTTGAAAGAAGTGTCTTTTACTTATTTGCACCTGGAATTTAGCTATGCTTTCCAATTCAAATCAGTCTGGATATTTCTGTCTACAAAAGACTTGCTGAAGTAAACTGAAACAGTAGTATGCTTTATTAAATTTCCCTGGCATAGTACAGCTCTCCCACATCTTCTGAAGAAAAAAAAGCAACCTTTTAGTGGTGTTTGTGTGTGTGTCTGTGTGAAATAAAGATTCCTATCTCCATAAGTGGTGATAGCTCATACTTATGGGAATTAAAGCTTTGTTATGAATGAAACACATCAGTCCACAGAGGCTGGTTAAATAATAGCGTGTTATTTTTCCTCTGAAGATACAAAAGCAGAAATTCCAGATATTGATAATGCAGAGTGTAATGCATGCCTTTTCTCTAGGTCCTGATCCAAACAAACACAGTGTAGTGAGAGACAAAAATGTGACACCTTTGCCGGAAGAGTCAGGAAACAATCAACCCCGAATGGCTCATATACCAGGTTTGCTTCTGTGCTTTTATTATTGGTATTTATCACGCAGTCATACTGTGATGTTCCTGTATTTTTTTGTTGTCATCTTTTGTGCCTAAAACATGCAAATGGCACCATTAGATATATACCTTCCAATGATGTCATGTTTTTGCACACTTTTCATTTCTCTCCACCTCCACAGGCCCTTGTCTTAGGATATATTGGAATTAAAGGTTCTCTAACACTAAGACCAGTGGCTTAAATCAGGAAAAGTACTGTCAACAGAAAAAAAAAAGTTGAATTATGTATATATTCAATAGTGTACAAACAAAGGGAAAGTTCTGTTGAAATTCATTACTTTGGATTATTTTTGGATTATAGAATGCCGATTATAGAATGTCACAATTTTACTGGCATGTACGAATATAGTATAATTTGGTAGTGTGGCATGGAATCAGTGACAGCTGTAATCTAGTATATTTCCATGGCTAAGAAGTGAGATCTTACGGTTCAACCATATAATTGCTTTATTTCTTATATAATTTTTATCTGTGATATATACACTTACCCAATAAGTGTTATCCTATTTATCATAGAAAATGAATAGCAATTTCAAAACTGCTTAACATAGCAATATTGATGCTAATCGTAATATTCAAAAGTGCTTTAATTGAAGAATCATACCTTAATTTAGAATCTCAGATCTCTAATTTGTAAACCATGTAATTTGACTTCTGGCTTTGAGCCAGATTAAAATACATTCTTTAGTTAATGTTTAGAATATTGTCTTTCTTATGGTGTGTTGTTCCCTCATCCCACCCATGACATTTGACTATTGGAAAATCTTACTGTGGCTAAAGTAGTATACAGAAACATGAGATTTTTATTTTTTTAACCAGAATCACATTTTGTTCCACTCTCACAACTGTGGAAGTAACATCAGCTGTCATTGTCTTCTACCACACATAGGATAATACAATAATGGATACAACTATCATTGCTTATATACAATTGTTGTTAAGAGTAGCTGGAACATAACTTTCACTTATGTAAAAACAAGATCATAAAGAATATTTCAATTCTCTGATCAAATGACAAAGGAATGTTTTTTTTCTATCTGCAGATTGGCTTATTGTAGTTGCTTCTCTTTTGGCCCTGGCATTGATTCTTGGTGTTTGCATTGCTGTAAACAGTCGAAGGAGGTAAGAAATGTTGTTGTAGTTTTCCATTTCTCAGTGCCAAGTCTTTTGCTGAAATATTTTTAGGACTGACAATTTTACAGCATTCAAAGGAGACAGCGTTACAGAGAATTTAATCAACAAGCACACATGGAAGCCATAGACCACTGTTTTTAAACATATAAGACACCCTAACTTACTACTTTTATCTCCTAGTTCAGTGTTCATTTTAAGATATGTCCTTTTCCGTGCCAATTCAAAAGTGGATTTTTCAGCCTCTCCATTGCCATATAATTTTTCTTCTTTTGAGTCAGAACAAAGAGCTATCTTGAAGCAAGTTGCTGGGATTTACCCCAGATTATTTTCTGAATAGTATTTGAAAATTAACAATTGTCTATAGTATGTATTAGTAATTAGTATTGATGTAATTAGATAACTGGATGCTATTGCTCATATAAATTATTTGCCTACATATTAATTAAACACTAACTTTGTAACTAGGTAAGAGCCAGCATTTCCTGCTTGTTCAGCATTTTTTGTAACATAATTTCTTATTTTGAATAAGAGTATTGTTCTTCACTAATTTATGTTAAATCTTGATGTTTGGATGCTATTATTGTACTAAAGCACACTTGGTTAATTTTTAAAAATATTTCTAAAGCTGACCAATGATAATCAAATGCAGATAGCATCTCCTGAAAATGTGCAAAATTATAAAAGAATAGTGTTTCCCAGTTGAAGAATTAGCTTTTCTTAGTATTAAAAGTCATTTACTAAATAAGTTCTCACAGTTTTAAAGCATAGTACAGATATAACTTGGAATATTTTGTAACTTATTGGTGAGCTTGGGCAATCTTTATTTCAGCAACAAAATTTAAAAATAAAATGCAGAGCTGTTCATGTTTTTCAGAAGCCCTACAAGATTAATTCAGATAAAGAATATGCAGTGAAAACCATACCTCCCCCTTTTCTATAGATGTTTTCTCCTTTCACAGTTCTGTCTTCTGTGATGAGCATTATTTTAGAAGAGAACAGAGTGATCAGGATTCTATAAACTTTGCTAGAAGTCATAAAGAGACTTCTAGCTCATTCATTGTTATACTTCACTCAGTTTGAAACATTTATTCAAGTCATCTTCCAGTGATTGAATAACAGCTCATGCAGGGAAATAGGGCCAAGCTGTAAGGAAAACTAGGAAGAGCAGTGTAGGTGTAACTCTCTTAACATCAAGCGAATAGAGAGACGGACTGCTTATTTGTTTAGACAGAAATTCAGAAAGAAAGAACACATAAAACTTAGGTAACATATTTGACACTTCAAGTTGTAAGAGACATAAAAAGAGAGATGAAACAAGAATACCTTGAAACCACAAAAGAAGCACAAAGATATTTCATTTTATGAAAAAAAAAAAACTGGAAAAGCACATGTCATGAGAGGTCATTAAAAACAGCCTTAAGTTGAGCAGAAATGAGAAATGCAGTGCATTTAATGCGGTTGCTCTCAACTATTCTCTAAAGAGAAATTCAGATGAGTTCTGAATTTTAATTGTGAAATATATCCAGGAAATTTTCAATTAAGGATTCTAACGGATTTTAGTAGCAATTTTAATTTGTAATTTGCCCATTCCTTCCAGGACCATGTGGATGAATGAAAAAATGAAAAGGCATTTCCTTTTTGAGCATTGGTATATGAACTTGGTCATTCTTTGAAATAAATGACATAGTACAGTTGAGTTGTTTTTAATTAAAAACAACTTAATTTTAAATGTAGGCATTGATTCCTAGCTGTGGCCTTTCCTTTCCTTTCCTTATCTTTCCTTCCATTCCCTTCCTCAGATGATCCATTACTTCAATCTATGTGCAACTCAAGATCCATAGACATAGCCTTACCCTTAAGCCATCCAATCTAAGATTATCGGCTCAACTGAGTCAGAGAAGCTACCATGCTAACCAAAAGAACCACTGTAGCCATTATTCCAGGAAACATCTTTATCTGCCTTTTATCACCTTCTGAAGAATCCAAAGATATGTCCCATTCAGAATAAGAAATTTGTTAGAAGGTTATTTTGATAGGTTATGCTTCATTCCAATTATGTCAACGTACCAGAACCAGAAAAATCTGAAAAATAAAGATTAATCTGCCATAATTAAAGTTCTTACCTAAGAAATAAGCAAGAAATGGATTATTTTAATGTCTACTGCTCCAGACAAAATGAAGGCAGTATATAACATGTTCTCTTTAAATATTTTGACTTTACAATCTTTCCCTTTTCTGTTAGATGTGGGCAGAAGAAGAAGCTTGTGATTAACAATGGCAAAGGAGGCATAGATGAGAAAAAGAAAGATGGATTAAATGGAGAAGCCAGCAAATCTCAGGAAATGGTGCATTTGGTACAAAAAGAGAAATCAGAAGACCAAAAGGGCCCACATGATGAATTCCAGGCAATTGATGAAACACAGAACCAACAGTATGGGCCCTTGAAGAGTGACATGTAGGAAGGCTGGCCAATCAAATTGAATCAGAGTTGTGGGAAACAAAAAGCATCATACTGAACTGGGACTAGAACTCAGAAATGCAATGAGCTACTGATCTCTTTAAAGCATAATTAAGCATACATTTTCTTGGTTTTTTTTTCTTTTGTAATGGTCAGCTACAAAAATAATATGTCATTTTTGGTTTTGCCCAACATTGCATCACTTTGCCCAGTTTTAAATTAGTGATCATCATCTTATTGCTAGCATTTGTTCCCTAATTGCAGTCTGTTTGTTAAGGCAAAACACCAAAATTTATTTTGCCTGACCTACAGAATTTTTGGACTTTCCAGAATCTGCAGCCATTAAAGCATTATAGTAAAATGTATTCCCACGGAATTCACATTGATAGGCTATCTTGAGGTTTGACACATAGATTTTGGAATTCAATTTTTATTGGTCAGTTACAAAATTGTCAGATTTATTAAATCTCATTAATGTTTCAATATTTTGGAATTACATGTTGTAATAGTTAAATATGAAAAGCATGTTTTTACACATTCCACAGATCTTCACCATTGTTAAAATCACACTCACTAAAAAGGGTGGAAAAACCAAACCCAAAGCCCAAACCCAAAACTGATTTATAGCAAATAAATTTTTATTCTCTATAATCTAAATAGTGTGGTGATGTTATCTTTAAATTTCACTGTTCACGTTCCTTGCAGCCTGCTGTACTTCTGGTGTATTGTATTCCATTTATTAGGGATCCCATTCATTATCCTATGGGCTGTAAACTGACCCTAGAATATTTGGATGGAACCAAACCAAGACACATACCTTCCTCCTTGTCCCACTGTCTCTGAGTTTTTGTTTTCCCTTGAAATGCCCATTTCCTATTTGAATCTGCTTCAATAGGTCTAGTCTAATGTGAATGAGAGAGTTAAAGGATTCTTAAGAATATAACAGGAACCTCTTATCCTACACAGTTCCTGTTCTAGCAGAGTATGTTTATGTGAAATCTTTTCTATGCAGTTATGACTTACAATGAAAAAAACACATGAAACATATTTGAAATAAATAATTTCAGAAGTTCTGTTCTCTTGAAAACATGCCACTGTCTGAAATCCAGCCAGGATCATCTACACACAGAACAAGTGCCTTTAGTAGAATGTACTGTATCTGCCTCCCAGTTTTTGAGAAATACGATATGGAAGATTGGAGAACATTTTGGAGAATATTTGGGTTGTGTGTGCATTACTGAGTGTTTTCAGTCATATGCTTTTTAGTAAGTTAAATATAGAAAGTATAGACTAACTACCTTATTTTGGAATCCACTGTGATAAATTAGCTGATTAGATATAAAAAACAATTGTTTGAACTTTTATTGGATTGTTTTTTAGTCTGAAAGAATGCATGGAGTAGAACTGTCAGCCCATATGTGCTTAAGTTAAGGAAACAATTTATTGTCAGCTACCACATATTCCATTTAAGTTACAATATAATAATTGATGCCATTTATTTCTTTGCCAAAGATGTTGAATAAAGCTTTGAACCCTACTTTACCCAGTTTACATGGAAAACTAAATTTTCCTTTTAATCAGAAATGCTACTTCCTAGCACCATATTCTTCTGTGGGCTTTTGATATTTGATATTCTGTGGGAGTTTGATATTTTGACCAGCTTCTCTTGTAAATCACCTGACTAGATAACATCAGAACTTAATTTTATATTTCAGAAAGGGATTTGAAAAACTTGACCATACCCTTGATAAACTGGACCAATGTGAAATGGATCATCCCACTACAAAATAGATTTGCAGCTGGGTGAACAACTAACACATGGTCCTTAATGGGTCTACGTTCACATGGAAGGAAGCATGCAAAGGGTAGCTCAGGGTTCTGCCTAGGACCCAGTTCTGTAATCCCCAACCACCAGTCTTTGGACCGGCACCAGTCCGTGGCATGCCAGAAACTGGTCCATGCAAACAAGTGAAGCCCCATCCGCAGGATGCAGGCAACATGCAAAACCACGCCCCCTCCAGTCCACAGAGAAGCCTCTTTCCGTGGAACTGGTCCCTGGTGCCCAAAAGGTTGGAGCCATTGCTCTAGATGACTTTGATGAGGGACTAAAAGGATTGCTCGTAAAATTTGCAGATGACACAAAGCTGGAAGACTTACTAATACCCCACATGACAGGTTCAAGCTTCAAAAGGATTTGAACATTGACCCTATTCAAGATAATGTTATTCAATAATTAAAAATGTAAGGGTCTGCATTTGGTAAGAAAAAAAAAAACCATGTACAAGTACAACTTGGGTAGATAGACCTTGACTTCTAAGTCACTTCACTTCATTGAAAAAAAAAAAGGATGCTTGGCAATTGGCTCATATTTAAGATGGCTGCAGTGTCCCGGAAGCATGTGATCACCTTTTAGAACCTTCCAACAAGTCAATGGGGAAGCCAGATTCACTTAATAAATATCTTACTAACTTAACCAGTGCAGTGACTCACTTAACAGCTGGGGCAAGAAAGGTTTTAAATGGGGCAAAATTTTGGACTCGATTGTCATAAGTCCAGGACTACCTATACCTGGTGTAGCAGTAGTTGCAGGAAGGGTATGGGTAGCTTGGTAGATCACAGATGACCAGCTGCCAAAACTAATTTTGGGATACATCAAAAGATGCATATTAGGATCACTGGAAGTGATATTACTTCATTATGCTGCAGTGGTTAGACTATAACTGGACTATTGTCCTGTTCAGTTTGCCACAGCATGAAAAGGACACCGAAGAACTGGAAACATTGGAGAGAAGAGCAATAAGGATGGGCAGGGGCTCAGCTCTATTATAGCCATTTGATTGACATGTAGATAAAATAAACATAAATGCTCCTTTTTTGTTTGAAAGTCATTATTTAAGAGTTAATTACTTAGTGTACTAATTTAGTTTTACAAAATGACCAAGCGCAAGTCAAAGCGTTCAGGTGCATTTGGCCCAATGACATTATTTGGCGATTCCAAAGAAGACCCGATTCAAACCCTCTTGCACATATTTTTCCGTCACCAGACCCTTGGCCAGACTGGCAGTTTTGGAATAGTTGGCTCAAAACAAGATATGTCTGAAGCCAGCTCAAAATTAATGGAACTGAATTTAGAGATTCGGGGATCCTTACATGTGGTGCAGTCGTACCAGCTCCTTGCAAAACACATGGCTGTGAGAAATCTGAGTACAGGGTTTTGAACCACTGTTCCTCAGAAGAAGACTAAAAGGGAGGGGAGTTTCCCTTTGATCAAGCACCTTTCATATCGAATGAAATTGTTCTATTCTCCAGGGAAGAACTTTTCTAGAAACAAATTGCATACTTTAGTAACAGTTCTCAAAACAACTGACATCTTTAATGTTTTTTTTCTTTTACTTAGTAATACGAACTCTTTAAAAAAACTGCACGAGAGAAAAGGACTAAAAGCAATGCCTATAAAATGCATTTTTCCCATCATAAACAGAAAGTATGTGGAGTTGCAATAACAGCCTCTTTACTTGGAGATAAAGCAGGTGAAATGAGGCTAAAATGAACAATGGTGCTTTTGGCTGAAGACAGTAAATAATCAAATAATGTTTAATTCATAATTTTGACAGTGTCATGAGGAATGTGCTGCATTATACCAGAATATAGAAGATTGCAAAATCCATTGATTTATCTATATTGTATTTACAATTTATTCTATTTTTGCCTGTAATGATAAAATGTATGCGTGCAAGTAGGAATGAATGGCTATCCAATCATCATATTTTGAGGATATAGATGTTTGATAAAGTTTGAACATGCCGAAAAAAAGCACTGCAAGATTATTTTTGGAAAAAAGTATTTATTTTTAGCTTTAATTCCTAGTCTGTAAAAGTTCTGGAGTTTAATAATATTTAAAACTGGAATTATCCAGTTTTTTTTTTTTAAAAAAAAGAAATAATATATCTTAACTGGTTTGGAACGCTGCTCAGTTTTCTGATCAGTGCTTATAACAAATAACTGATAACTAACTAAAAAGTAGCTGCTTGAAGAGACTTTAAAAATGTATATTAAAGATGCCTATTGTCCCTCAGAACTCACTAGAAAAAAATAACTTATTTTATTCTGTACATATTCTAGAAATTGTATAATGTAAATCCAGTATTTTTTGTATAAATGTTCAATGACATTTTATTTGAGAATAGTGTTCAAAGCTTGGGAGGGTGGGGTTGGGGGAGCAGATAGGATAGTGTTTATATCTGTTGTTCCACAGCGTTCAAGAGAAAGTTTAAGCAGGCATGTTTTCCATGATTTCTTTTTTAAGCAAAGGCATCAGGGACTACGCTAGGGAGAGAATGCAGCCTACGGGCCCCAAAAGTCAGCCTTCTAATATCCTTGTCCAAGCATGCAGCCTAAAAGTAACTGGATCCCACTCAAACCAAAAACATTTTAATGAAGCAAAAAGGGTGGATGTAATTCCTCCATTCAAACCAATCGAATCGAATCTCCAATATTTTATGTATTTCTCATGCACTGTGATTAAAAATAAAACAAGTTTCCAGGGAGTAAAACACACACACAAAAATAAGCAATTGCTACCATGAATCATTTTCCCACTTTTAGATGCTATGGCCAATGTTGGTCTAGCAAACAACAAGACAGGGATACATTTTTACTTTCATGGCAGCTTTTCTGCATTAAACCCCCACACACGCACACACATTTTGGTAGTATAACTCTCAAATTATTTTATCAAAAAGAAGTTTCACTGTTTATAGAAGTGCATGGATGAACAGAAATCGAGAAGCTGCAAATCTAACAAATGTGAAAGTAGCTCTGTTGGTTTGATATGTCAACCATTGGCAAATCAGCATACATATAACAAATAAACATTTGTTACTGGACTGTATTTCATATATCCTTCCATCACACATTCTCCCTAGAGCTTGCAAGTAAATAGATATACTCACATTGATTCTATCCATGAAAATTTTGAATTCACATTTATTGATGATATGTACATTAAAAAAATCCAACATTTAGTGAAATATTGTTTTTGCTGATTATTTCCAGTATATAAAGAATGTCCAGTTTTATATACAAGTTACAGAAATCAGTTTGCACAGGAAATGAAAAAAATTGCTAAAGGTATAGATAAAGGAGATAAGAACTATGAAAAGTGCTTAGTAAACAAGTCATTGCTACTGTAGTAAATAAAGTAATCAACATTAATAAAGATTTAGCATTTCCATGTATTAGAATTTACACACAATGGCATAGATATTATACAATACACCACTTCATTTTTAGATGAATATTTTTAATTACAGTCAAAGCCAAGTTTGTGCTTTCTTTTGTATGTAGGGTGACCCACCAACAATGCAATCTAAGAGGTCATGTGCATAAGATCTAATAATTCCCCTTAGCTGAATATATCCGCAGAGCTTAGAATTGAGTGGATCTCCCCTTTCTATGCATAATTATATGGTATCCATATATTCAAGGCCTACAAGAGCAAGATATATAACTATGTTTGGGCAATAACTAAATTCAGTTTACAACTGGAAAACTCTTCCTTCTATTAAGA